TTCTCATTATGCACTGTGTGCTCCAGGATTTTTTTTATATGGTGCACACTGACCACACAGACCCATTCTCTCACATGTTGGCCTACCAGCTTTTTTCTCCTGCTTGATCTGAAGCCACTAGAATTTATGAGTATATATACGTCAACACGGTACCTCGTAAGACGTATATATATGGCCGCAACAGTCAAAGGGTTAAAAAAAGAAGGGAAGTAACCCCGGAAAAGGACATGGTACTTAAAGTCTTTATGGAAGGGGATTCCCCTTCCAAACAATAACACACCACCATCATCTCCCCTCCTCCCATTTCATCACTCATCACTACATCCTTCAAAAAAGGTAAGTGTCATTTATTCTTCATGTAGTATTTATTGTGCATCTATCATTGTTTTCTGTGTAGGAAAATGTATTTTCATGTGAAAAAAAAATTTCATACTTTTGGGCGTCTGCAATGGATTAATTGTATTTCCATTATTTCTTATGGGAAAATTAATTCGGCTACGATAAATTCGGCTAAGGACAAGCTCTCTGGAACGGACTAAAATCATTGGTCGAGGGTCCATTGTATATAGTACTGCAATTATGTATACGGGATGCAAACAAATAAAATATCAAAATAAACTAAGAGTACTTACCGGTGAGCCTTGCGATTCTGATTGTGATTGGTATGATTCTTTGACTTGGCCATGTTTTATGTCTTTCTAGCCTGTAAGAAAAATATACATTGAGTATTGGGAAACTAATAGATATGAGAAAAACCATATTAAGCTCAGCTTTAAATTAAAACAAGTTTTTATTATTACATATACAGTAGGGCCCTGCTTTACGGTGTTTTGCTTGACAGTATTCTGCTAATATGGCGATTTCAACTTATGACTAAAAACTTGCCATACAGCTCCCATCTTTCTAATACAGCACACCCCACCTGGTTTGCTTACGTTCTCTGTGAGCACATCTCTGTTATGTCTGGAAACTCTCCAAAATTTTTAAAGTTATTGCATATTTTATATGCACTCTGATAATTATACTTGTGTACCTGTACCTAAATATACTTACACACTGTACTGGCATGCAGGTACACATTAAAATCATTAAGAGTCTCTCTACTCTTGAAGATGCCATATTAACCCCTTCAGGGTTGACAGGCCCTCTCTCAGAATTCTCAGGGTCGACAAATTTTCAAAAAAAAAAAAAAAAATCTTATGAAAAGATGGAGAATCTTTTCCCGATCACAATGACACCAAAAGTATGAAATTTGATGGAAAACTTACGGAATTATGCTCTCGCGAAGTCAGCGGTCTCGACGATGTTTACGCATCGGCGATTTTGCCCACTTTGAGCCCTATTTTCAGCCAATTCCAGTGTACTAGTCGACAAAAATCATAACTATGTCGCTAGAACTCCATTTTTTCTATCGAATGAGTACAAGAAACTACCCAATTTTGCCAATTTCAGACAAATTTCAAAAGATGCCAATTTCCAAATAGGGTCCAGAATAAACAAGAAAGACATTCCTGGCACTAAAATAACATTTCCTCTGTTCATTAGTCATGTCCCCACACCCCTCTTACATACTTTTGCTTTCCACTTTGAATTTTTATCCTCACAAAAAACAGAAGATTTACTGTTATGCAGACTACTGCATTAGTGTAGAAATGGTATAAATCATATCAGCGCACTTGCAAAAGAATATTAGACTCACCAGTTGACGTGTATTGGACGCGCAGCATGATTTGTTTACTTTTGAACTTTGGCAAAAATTGAAGATTTCTATTACTTTGAGCTCAATTTCAAGGTACTTTTCATTATAAAACCAATCAAAAAGGTCTCAATTTCTGTAATATGTCTTCCATTCTATAAAATGAGACCAGGAAAACTAGAATGCCATCATAAATACCATACGAAAATACAGTGCAAAATCGCTGCTTTAAACCAAAAACACTGTCAAAGTTTTTTTTTCTCATTATGCACTGTGTGCTGCAGGATTTTTTTTATACTGCGCACAATGACCACATAGACCCATTGTTTCATAAGTAGGCCTACCAGCTTTCTCTCACTAGATTTGAGGGCGCTAGAATTTAGGCGTACATGAAAAACCCTGGTGCTAAGCCTACAGTACGTCAGAAACCCTAAAAAGGGTTAATAATCGCTTGGGTGCATTAACCCTTTGGGGCGAAAAGGTCCTCTCAGAGATTTCCTCTCAGGTGGCCAAATTTCAAAAAAAAAAAAAAAAAAAAAAATATCTGATGAAAAGATAGAGAATCTTTTCCCGATCATATTGACACCAAAAGTATGAAATTTGATGCAAAACTTACGGAATTATGTTCTCGCGAAGTTAGCAGTCTCGACGATGTTTACTGCCCACTTTTAGCCCTAATTTCAGCCAATTCCAGTGAACTAGTCGACAAAAATCATAACTACTTCGCTAGAACTCCATTTTTTCTATCGAATGAGTACAAGAAACCACCCATTTACTGATTTCAACTATCCAATAAAGTGGTCAGAATTTAGCAATTTTGCCAATTTCACACAAATTTCAAAAGATGCCAATTTCGGAATAGGGTCCAGAATAAACAAGACATTCCTGGCACTAAAATAACAAGTTCTCTGCTCGTTAGTCACATCCCCAGGCCCCTCTTATATTTCTTTGGCTTTCCACTTTGAATTTTTATTCTTACAAAAAAAATAAGATTTACTGTTATGCAGACTATTGCATTAGTGTAGAAATGGTATAAATAATATCAGCGCACTTGTAAAAGAATATTTGACTCACCAGTTGATGTGTATTGGACGCTTGGCATGATTTGCTTACGTTTGAACTTTGGTAAAAATCGAACATTTCTGCTATTTTGAGCTCAATTTCAAGGTACTTTTTATTGTAAAACCAGTCAAAATCATCTCAATTTCTGTAATATGTCTTCCATTCTATAAAATGAGACCAAGTAAACTAGAATACAACAATAAATACCATACGAAAATACAGTGCAAAGTAGCTGTTTTAATCCAAAAATAAGGTCAAAGTTTTTTTTTCTCATTACGCACTGTGTGCTGCAGGATTTTTTTTATACTGTGCACACTGACCACATAGACCCATTCTTACATATGTAGGCCTACCAGCTTTCTCTCACTAGATTTGAGGGCGCTAGAATTTAGGCGTACTGGTACGTCAAAAACCCTGGGTCATAAGAAGTACTAGTACGTCCGAAACCCCCAAAGGGTTAAGTGTCATACGTTACGTTAATATAGACATTTCCATTAATCCATCTATGATTTTTCTTCAAAATTATGTAAGAAACACATTACACACACAAACATGATGCATACACTCACAGTACAAATACTGACATAAATATGAGATGTTTACCATTACATTTGATCTAGTCAAACACCAGTTACTGGAGGATATTATTATTATAATCAAAAAGAAGCGCTAAGCCACAAGGGCTATACAGCGCTGCAGGGCAGGAAGCGAGGGCATCAGGTGGTAAAAGGGAGGTGGATGAGTAATAGGTTACGGATAACAGCGGGGCAGTGGATGGTGAAAGGGTAAAGGGGTCAAGAGACTGAGCTAAAAAAGGGCTGAGGGGAGCGTAAGGTATCATCATAAATTTTTGTGGGTAAATCTCGTTGTCAAAAAAATGAGAATCGGTTTAAAGGTGGGTCCTCAGCAAGAAGGAAGGTAAAGAGAGAGTAGTAAACGAAGACGGCGTTGGAGGTAAATTCTGGGGCTCGTTGATAAGGGGGCAGCTAAAAGAATGTGGAAAATCGATCGGGAAACTTGCACTGCTCACAGAGGGGAAACGGGTCCTCTCCAGAGATATCCGTGAGTAAGACGGGGGGGCCAATGGAAGGCGGGAGAGAGGGGTCCCCCAACCCCGGGCACGTGACAAAAGAGGGCCCATAACCTTGCTGGGTTCAATAAATGAATTTTTTACCAACAGAGTTGACCAACGTTGTTGCCAACGGGCTAAAGGGTGGGTTATTGCAGCAAAATACCCCAAAATGGAACACCTCTTTAGGAAATTGGAGGTCATGTACTGCTGACCACGCAGCAGTGTCTGCCTTTCATTGCCTGTACGTCGACTGCCCGGGGGACCCAAAAAAAAAAAAATTTTTTTTATTTTGGGGTAGAGAAGGGGCTACCCAAAATTTGGGATAGGAAAACCTGGGGGGTGAGATTAAAAATTTTTTTGTATAGCCTGTAGAGCACAATGGGTTGAGACTACCACAATGAGACACAGGCATAGATGCGTACAATAAGTGCTGCAAGAAGGCATACAATTCGCAGTAAAAAGCTAGCCGAAAATATAAATCCCCTGCAAAAACGCGCCCCGGAAACACGCTGCGAACCCACACTGTCTGAAACTCAAGCCATCTTGTCCCAGCGATGCAGGGAAAATGGGAGGGGAAGTGATCAAGAAAAAAGGGGGGAACCCACCGAGGCATTAGTTTTCGACAAGGGAGTGAGAAAGAAAGACCCGAAAAGCGGGAACTTCCGGGGGGGTAGGGAAAAGTGAGGCTACATGAAAAATTTAAAGGGTAACTGAAGGAAGACAAGATGAATTTTGGGCAAAGAAAAAAGGGGACAGACAAAAGGGGGCGGTGAACAAAATAAAGAATTCTCTAATATCGGTGACCATTCAAAAAAGGAAGGTGTGGAGTTGTGAGAGCATACTAGTACAAAGGGCAAGGGGCATCACGGCGATCAGACAAGGATGGAACATTCACTTCTGCATAGGGGCCTCACAGGGAAACAAAACACAAGGCACAAAAAAAAATCCTTGTGAGGATAGAGTTAAGGCAAGAGAAGCAGGGAGGGCCCCGGAAAAAAATCGGTCACCATAATCGAATTTTGATAAAAAGAGGGGTGAATGAGGGGAACAGATTCGACGATCAGCTCCCAGGAAAGATGGCAAAGGGGTTTTTGAAGGTTTTTAGCCGGCTGGACAAGTTTTCCTTCGAGAGGTAAGTGAGGGTTCCAGGAAACCCCTCAAAAGTGCCCAGAAACCTGACTGTACACGTTTGGGGAAAGGGAGCCCTAGAGATACAAAGGGTGATCGGGGATGACAGAGCGTTTTTGAAAGTAATTTGGGTGAGTTTTGGTATGGAAAATTTTAAACCCTGCTGGTGGCCCAATGGAAACCGGTCGACCCCAGCTGGAGAAAACTGCAATGAGATACAGCAGGCCTCACAAGCAATAGGGGAAACATCAACAAGGTGATGACCAAATATTGGTTAAAAGAACAGAGGGGGAAAACATTTTTTAAACAAGGAAAAAAGTGTTCTCTTAAACACATCCTTTAGGGACACTTCAGCTTGGACGAATCCGGGAAAAAAACTTTTTGACTCAACACGGAAATGTCTGTCAATTAAAAATTTTTAAGGGAAGGGTGGAGATTTCCCCGGGGGCCTAAAAGGGGTGGGCCTGGGGCCCAAAAAATTATACCCCCAAGTTGTGTCATAGCCTTCTCAAGGAAAAAAATATGGCAAAAAACGAGTGATTATTCGCAAAGGCATTCGAACTAGTATCCAAGCGTAGTAAGGGGGCTAGGTTTTAACGGGCCCTTTCGAAAGCCATTTGACTAGCGGGGAGACTGTGGTGTCTCAAATACCACATTAAACGTCGATTTTCGGATTCCCTCACTTTGTAAAAATGCACAGTAAGAGGGTGGGGCATAGTGGGAGGGGACATGCCCTGTAGTACCC